ATCCATTCAGTCAGTGTTAACAGATGACAAAGAAAGAATTATCGAAGGTGATTACATAAGTCTGCTTGTTTGTCTGTCTATCTATCTATCTATCTATCTCTGTGTATGGGTTGTGTGGAAATGGTTTCAAGATTACTAATTTTGAGCACATACACATACACACACACCCACATACACGCACACACTCATAGAGACCCCCCCATATATATTATATATAAATATACAACATGTCAAAGAAGAAATGAAACAATCTGTGTTTTTACTTTAAATCAAATCAGTTATGACATAATAATTTCTATTAAATAACCATACATAATCAATATAAACGGTATCTATCTATCTATCTATCTATCTATCTATCTATCTATCTATCTATCTATCTATCATAAACTGACCTTATTATTGACTTAAAACAATAAAAAAAAAACCCACTACACTTTTTAGTGTATTTAATAATGTAGAAGATATTTCAAAGATGTTTCAAAAACACAAAGATATTCACTTTGAAATTATAAAAATTAAGTTACCATGGTAGTAGTCTACTTTTTAATAATAACCAAAAAAAAAAAAAAAACAAAAGAGAGCGAGAGGGGGGAGGAAGAGAGAGAAAGAGAGAAAGAGACAGAAACAGAAATAGTAATAGAAAAAATAATCAACTTAAGAAAAGATTTAAAAATGAATAAACACTAATTATGAAAATGTGATTATAGTTTGTTGAATTAATAATAATATAAAAATGATTAAGTATTTAGAAACTTATTTTCAATTTCTTTGATCTACCTGTAATTAGTGTGTGTGTGTGTGTTTGTGTGTTTGTGTGTAAGGGGGGTGGAGTTTTGGAAATTACTAAATTGTTATAGTTTATTTCATGAACTAGGCAACAATTAAAAACTAAACCTTTAAACTATTTAATCGTAATTCATTGATATCAAGTTTATCCGCTGATTACAAGGATCTAAAGGTTTTGTGTTTGGTTACCGGAGTTTCATGATTGTCTATCTAAGATCAATACGTGATATAGATTATCAAATTACATTGAATTGTCTATTGAATGTTGTTTAATCAAATAACAAGGAATTAGTTACAAGATTTAAGTTGAATATAGTGGAATCCAAGACGCGCGTTTCGTCCTATTTTGGACTCGTCGACTGGTCGTATTTGCATCCTAGAGCTGATGTTCACTCCGAGACTCGAACCCAGTGTCTTTCGCTTCAAACGCCATCGCGTTATTCACTTATCTACTGAGTCCTGATAGACATCTGGGTTCCATTGCTAGTCACTATCCATCTTTATTTAAAAAGCATGTAACTTAAAGCTATATCAAGTTAATCCGCACAGGATGCACATATGATAACATGAGACTAATCAATTGAATTTCTAAATAACAATGGGAAGATACAAGTAAAACAACACCAAGTGAATTTAAGTAGTATATAGTTATTTTATTGTAGTTCAAGATTGCATGACTCATCGTAATGTCATACTTGTCTATTTCTAATCTCATTATATACAATAAATGTAAGTAATTATTATAAGGAACTGACAATTACTAAATTATTGTAAGTAGTCAAAAGGAAACTATAGATTTAGGTTTCCTACGAGTTAGTACATGTCAGAAAGGTTTACTTATTTTTTTTTTTCAGGGGACGGATAATTCCTATGGGACTCGAAACTATTTCACTAAGTTTCATAGTCTGAGTTGTTGCCATGTAATTATTCCATCACTGACTGACCTTCTGTTCAATGAAACATGTACACAAGCTCTCTATCAAAAAATTATCAGAATGAGGATTTGTGGAGATTGTAGCAATTTTAATAGTTGCATTGATGAGGTTTTCATATGCTTACTAGTGACTGAATTCAACGTAGATTTATTACGGTCCTAGTGAGTAACCGTGACTATTGGAGTCCAATCCATGTCGACTGGAGACAGTTATCTAATTCAAACAATGGATGAGTGGTTGCACAATATCTGTATCGACTGAAGTTGGATATTGACCCCGTTGGATGCTGGTTCTGTGGTCTACAGGTTAGGCGATAGCTTGCCAAACCGACGCTTCTGGGTTTGATCCCCTTTGTATACTCACTACTGAATATTCCTATACTAGGACGAGCAGACCGTCCAATGCCTGAGGATTTTCAATGTAGATCTAGCTCAGATCGACTTATGAATTCAATTATTAAAAATGCTACAATCTCCACAAGTCTTCATTCACGTAATTTCAATTTGTTCAAACGTGATTATAGTCAGTGTTAATGTATTCTTGAGTATAATAAATGATTGTATATTATGGTGGAAAAGAGTGTGTACCTATGCATATTAAGTATACATTTTCGGTAAAGAGAAAGTACCATAAACGTTTTAATGTTAATTAGAAGTTATTTCTCAGAATTAGACATCGGCGAGTACACAACAATTATCAGTATAGCTTCCTCTGGTGGGGTGTATAGAGATTGTTAAATGTGATAATATATATATAAAACTGATCTTTGTAGCCCAGACGTTGAATACTGGTAAAATCCTACATCACTTGGTATATTGCGATTAGTTTTTACATTGATATAGTTATTATCCTAAGAATATACTTATAGTTAGGCACATAAGACTGAGAACTAGTATAAATAGTAAGAATCTGAGACGACTTTATCATAATAACATCTCTCCAAGATAAGGTTTTGACTACTATAATAGTTTTATGCGTACTTGATTGTTTTCCTTACATTTTGAGACTTGTTTACAATATTAACTAATTGGAGAGTCTGCAGGAAATTGTGTTCACTCTCAATCACTCAGTACATCAGTCACAACATAGAAATTGGTACGTATGTACATCGATTCAAGTTGCTACAACCCATTAAAACAGTGAGATGAAGCTGTTAAAACAAGTCCCAGAGTAATAGAGTTCGTAACAAGATTAGTGGTAATACATAAGATTAGGTATCCAAGGGCGAGACAAAAATTTATGAATGAACCAATCAGATTTCAGGTAACAGGTCTTGGATTTAGCGCGGAATTCATCCGTCTATTTAGCATTTCAACACTATAGCTTATGTTATTTCATTATTATAAACCCTAAATCTAACTTTTAACCCTAACATCCAGATTTAAATCCTAACCTTGATTCCTAACATTAATTTATAATCCAGTAAGTAAGTGGATATTCTCAAAGTCAATGTAGCATTACTCAAAGGTTATCCATAACTTATAGTCTCATCAATATATACCTATAATTTTGAAGGAATCAAATGATTCAAATCCCCATCACTCCTTTTCACAGTCCAAGATTTTGTAATTAACCTATTCAGGTCAGAAACTAACCAAAGTTTTTAAATCACTCACTGGAAAACTGGAAAACAGTGAACATCTGTTTCATCCTACTGTGTGACTCTTCAATAAAAATAAAACACAGCCTCACCACCGGGGATCAAACTTAGAAACTTTAGGTCTTGTGATTACCCTAGAAAACCTTATTATGCTAAAAATATATCATTACTGATTCATTAATTTCAATAGGATTTTCTAAACTACGGTATTATATCAAAAACTGATTCACAGTCAATTCATTTCCCTCTCCTCATCAATATGGAATTATCAATTATTATTTAGTATCAGTATAGGGGTTGTGGAGATTATTAAGTTTTTGATTGGCATCATGAACCGATTGATGTTAGACCACCATCGAAAACCTGGAAGCACTGAACGTCCGTTTCGTCCTATTGTGGAACTCCTCACCAATGCGCATCCAAGATCCCGCTCGCGGGATTTGAATTCATCAATCGGTTCGTGATCTCAGTCAGAAACTTGATAATCTCCACAACCCCTGTACTGATAATTATCATATCCTCACTTGTGACTACCTTCGTGAGGGAGTTCTCGAAGTTCAAGTGAGAAGCCATGACCAGTGGAGCTAATCCGTGTCGGGTAGAGACAGGTATCTACTTCAGTACAATGGAAGATAGTTGTGCAATTTCGTGGATTGGTTGTGGTTAGACATTAACACCATTAGATATCAGCCGGCTCAGTAGTCCACTAGGTTAAGCATTCGCGCGCGAGACTGAAGGCCCTGGGTTAAAATCGCACTTGCGGGATCGTGGATACGCACTGTTGAGGAATCCCGCAATAGGATGAAACAGTCATCTAGTGCTTTCAGGTTTTCAATGGTGGTGTAACATAAATCAGTTCTTAATCTCAATCAAAAACTTATTATTTGTTAACTTTAAAGCTTCATTCATTCTGAAAGTCGCGACTTGATGAGACTTAATATTTTCATAGTTTATTGTTATATGAAATCGATTAATTCATTCAATATTGTCACAGTGTGAATACTAACAATATGATATAAAAATATAACCAACTGATGAGTCTCAAGCAAGACGAAACCAAATACACCAAAATTTATAGTATAATGGTTATCCTACGGCAATCGTTACAAGATATATATATATATAGGCCAACAAATACTGATCAAAATACACTCTAGACAATCAACAACGGATACATTCAAATCGTTATTAATAAGTTCATATCTACTGAACTCAATAACTAAATGAATAATATATTGTATGTTTAAAACGAAAGGTATTAAGTTCGAATCCCAAGATGGATTTGAATTAAGACTGATTAATCACATATTAATAACATCTTTGCATTGTTAGTAAACATTTCATCTATTCAATTTATTATTGAACATCATTAATAATGAATCACAGGTTAAAGAATGAATTTTAAAAAAATGTCAATAAAATTATTATAAACAATAATTAAAACAAATGACAAACATTTTTTTATTCACCGGTTAAATTGAATTGTCAAGGTTAAATGTTTAAAAGAAAAAATAAACAAAACAAAACGATAAAGTAATTGAAAACAAACAAGACATAAAAGTACTAAATGGTAAATAAAAAAATGGGAGATCAATTTGTTGTTGTGATAATTGACCGGATTAAAATAAAGCTGATCAGAATAATAATAATAATAATAATAATAATAATAAAATGGATCAATAATGTGAATTACTGATCAATAATTGATCAACTGTTGTTATATTTACCGGTTCATTAACAATGAAATAATTAAATGAGTTATCGTAGCTATAAATTTCACAGGGGAAACTATGATCATTACTATTACTATTATCAGTAGTAATAATAATATTATTATTATTATTATCATTACAAGTAGTATTATTGTTAGTAGTAGGAGTAGTAATAGAAGTATTATTAGTTCTAGGTAAACATTCTTCGAAATTATGATGCTTATCATTGTCTATCGTGATATCTTGTTCTAACTGACTGATTTGTTCCTTTGATGATGATGATGATGATGATGATGATGATGATGACGACGATGATGATGATGGTAATAATGAAGAATTGTGTAAATATGGATAGGACCAGTTGGTTGTTTCTTCCAATAGATTTTGACTAAAAGTGAATTCGTCATTTTGTTGTTCGTGATGATGATGATGATGAGGAGGAGGAGGTGGTGGTGGATGATTGTATTGAGCATCTTCTACTTGTTCTTCTCCTTCTTCTTCTTCGTCATCATCATCATCTTCTTCTTCTTCTTCTTTATCATGTAAACTGTTTTCATTAATATTTTCATGTACATTGTTAATCTCTTGCATTATTTCATATTTATCTGATTCATTAGAACAATTCATATCAATTGGTTGATGCATATTTGAATTTAATATAAAATGATAATAATTGAATGATTTCTCAATATCATACTCATCTTGATTCATAAATTCCATACTTTGATTGAATCTGTCTTCTGTCCGGTGATCAAGAATATCATTCGTTGACCATTGAACGGTCGGTTGTTGATGATGATGATCATGATGATGATGATAAGGTTGTCGATGATTTGAATTGAGACTTTCTATAGAATAATTATTGATAGATTTTATAGAATAAGTAGTATTAGTATCAGTATTAACACTACTAATACTACTATTTGTAATAGTACTAGTAGTAGTGATAGGATCATGTAAAATTATTTGATCTGATATTGATATACATGGATTAGAATAATAATAATAGTAATAATAATGATAATGATAATAATCATCTGTATATATTGGTTGTTGTGGTGTAGAATGATAAATTTCTTCATTTATATTATTATTATTATTATTATTATTATTATTATTATTATTAAACTGTACTGGATTACTCTGTTCATTTTCACGGTACATTGAATTGATAAATACACTTTGAGAATATTCATTATATGAAGATGATATAATATATGATTCATTACAATTTAAATTTGATGTATTTATTAATTGATGATAAGATTCTGTTAAAGGATTACAACATTGAATACCTTCAATAGAATTTAGATCAATTTGTTTATTTAATGATGTAGATATATTTGTAGTACATATAGGCAATGATGATAATGATAATGAACAAGTAGTACAAGTGGAATAAATAGATGAAGATGATAATGATGAATTTGATAATACACATGATGATAATGACCAATTAGATGATGAATACATAGTAGAGATGATAGTATTTGTCATATAATTATAATTAGTTGATAAATAACTATCTAAATCTTGTATACAATTCCAAAATGGTAATGATGAATGATGTTGATTCACTGTTGTTATGGTTACTGATGATGATGGTGATGATGATGATGATGATGATGATGATAATGATGTAGTTGTAAAAAGTGGATCAGAATAATAAGGATAATTCATTGTATTAATCTCAATGGTATTGTACTGTTCTTTTTCAATAGATTGATTCAAGCTTGAATCAATTCGACTTATCGTTTCATGATTCCATAAATTATCATTGTTATGATTATTAATATACTTATTAGTGATATTTATTGCATAACAATTATGGATTGTGTCATCATGAAATGGATCATCATAGAAAATTTGATCGTGATCATTTTTATCAGGTTTAATAGGGATTTTAAATTTGTTAATTTGATCTGATCTTGTATTGTGTTGAACTAAAAGGAATATAAATAAAGATTTAAGGTGAATAATTTTTTTAAAAAACAAATATATATAGTGTAGTGTATGCCAACCCCCTCCTAAAGAAGACGGGAGTGTTGTTTATAAAATTGAGAGGAAGAGCTTTAACCGGGTTGGTAGGTATGGAGGATCCACCTAGGGTAGTTGACAAACCGTCATTTCAAATTAGTAGTGCACATGGGCTCCAAGATCTTGAAAGAACAAATGGTGTATGAACTAATTGTTAGTCACAGGCTACCATGGGACTGTACTTCATGACGTTGCTCTACTTGCTTGTGCATCAGACCTTTAGGTCGAAGGTTTGAGAAGTCACCTCTTAAGAAAACCACCTGTTTTGTTCTGAGCACACAGGCAGTATCTCAGCCCTCACACAAATCGAATGACTTATGTGGCGCATATATATTTGGTGCCAGCTTGTAACAACAATTATGTGCTTAAATAAATAAATAAGCATGTAACACCATTCAGAAGCGAAATGCCTGACTGTAGAAGGTTGAGAAGACCGAATTGAAGAGAATGGGAACGCAAACAGAAAGTAACTGTAATAGCAATGAAAGAATGAAAGAGATTAGACTCGAGTACCAATGTGAACATCAAATCCTAGATGCAGACAGATACATCCAACTAACCAGTCATAAATAGGACGAAATAATAATTCTGAGTACCATTGTTAGCTATTGTAGAGAAAAAAAACAACTCGTAATTAAAATGGTTACATTGATCAATTCCTTATTGGGTTGCCCATATTACTAATGAACTCTAATTAAAGTTATCAGTATGGGAATGTTAAGATTGAAAACCTGGAAGCAATGGATAGTCGTTTCGTCCCAGTATGGTACTCCTCAACACTGCCCATACACGATGCCAAGGACAAGTTACCTGAGTCTGCCTTCTCAATGTGTATTTGCAAATTCAGCTGCACCTGTGGAGATAACTATATCGGGCGTACTACCAGGCAACATAACCGACGAATGAGTGAACATCTACCCGCTTGGTTTATAAAGAGCCAGATGAAAACAATACGCAGTTATATCTTGGTACATCTTATTGATAGCGGTCATAATGTAGATAAATCGGAAGGATTCGAGTGATCTATCGTATACCTACATCATTTCACAACGGAGTTTGTTCCCGTCTCCTATATATAGCTGAAGCCATAGGAATTCGTACATTCAACCCCAATTTATGTGTACGGAAGAAATTCGCAACCATTGAAAACGCGAGACAATTCAGCAGTACGTATTTATAAGCCTTCATTTGGGGACCGAATCCTGTGCATTCAATAGCATTTGTATGCGCCTTATCTGTAGACCACTGAATTGGCATCCGATGGTGTACATAAATTAATTGAACAAATTTACTATATATGTGAACCTCCGTTCATTCCCTCATGTGAATAACTCTCTCACAGCTAACATCAGTTGGTACTAGTTCGAAGACAGTAAATATATGGTGTTCATCTGTAATATAACTCAACTCTCTCAATTGATTGGTCACTGGGTAATATGTGAGCAATATCATAAGTGTCAGATCCTTCTTAGTACATATCGAATCCTATCGACTAGGTTGCAATATGGGCCACTAGTCTAGGTGACTCAACATTGCGTGCACAATGTTGAGATAAAATGGTGATTGGAAATACTCAACAGGAAACCCTGAACCTAGGTTTTATGCAACTTGGCACTCGTCAGCAAGGTATACCTGTAATCTTGATGAAATTGGTGCCCCCTGACGGATTCAACCTCGTGTCACCCAGCTTCACAGTCAGAGACATTACCACTGGGTTATCCAAGCCGCCACTGACCTCCTGTATGACTGAAATGTATTCACAATTGATTGATCACTGGGTGGTGATCAATGTCATGTATATCAGGTCCTTCTTAGTTCAGATCGAATCCTATCGACCAAGTTACAGTGTGGACACCGGTCTAAATGATTCAGCATTGTGTTCACTATCTTAAGGTGATGGTTGGAGGTAGTCGAACAGGAAACCGTGAACCCGATTATCTCGGTCATCTCTATCAAAATTATTCAACATTACATACATATATACAAGGATATCAACTTACTTTTTCGATTTCTTTTTATTTCACCGGATGTACAATTAGGTTCATTAGATAATTTTTTGTAATAATTTTCACATTTTTGTTGTTTCTATAAAAGAAATTTTAATAAGTAGTGAATGTAAACTTTTAATAAAAATAAATTGATCACATTGAACACTTTTTTTTAGAAAATAAAAGACCGCGCCAAGTTCATTTATTTATTAAAACTATTTCAAACATTATCAGAAGAGGTTTCGTGGAGATGGTAGTAATTTCAATAGTTAAGATCATGAGTCAGTTGAAGCTAGACCACCATGGAAAACCTGAAAGCACTGGATGGCCGTTCCGTCCTAGTATGGGACTCCTCAACAGTGCGCATCCACGACCTTTCCCCCTGCGAGACTAAAACCAAGGACCTACTGGTTTTGCGCGCGAGCACTTAACCACTAAACCACTGGGCTGGCCGGTATCCAACGCTGTTAATGTCTAACTTCAACTAATCCACGAAACTTAGCGATACATCCACCATTGTCTTCAGTAAGTTGCTATCTCACAACAGACCTGGTTGAACTCCACTGGTCATTACTTTTCACTAGAACTCCAGGATATACCTCTTAAAGCCAGTCACTAGTGAGAATATGTTGATTATTATCAGAAGGGGGTTTGTGGAGATTGCATTAATTTCAATGCTTAAGATCATGAGTCAGTGCTTCTAGGTATTCCATGGTGGTCTAGCTTCAACTGACTCATGATCTTAACCATTGAAATTATTTCAAATATTTTCCGAATATGTAATCATTTCTATAATCTCTTCTATATTCATAACTATAGTGTACTTCAACGGTAAACTCTTCCATAATCAGTGCAGTTCAGTCACGTTCGATATTGATCAGTTACCTAAAAATGTAGTATGTAACATTCATCGGAAGTGGAAACCCATGACATCAGAAGATTAAGAATATCAAGTTAAAGAAAGTGGAAGGCAATGTATAAAGGAATTATAAATGGGAAGAATCATACACTATGTGAAAGACAATTGACGGAAGATTTGTAAATGAAGTATTCAATGTATAGTTCACATATTATACCAAGATATTTTGTAATTTTGTATTGAAATACATTGATTGTCTTCACTTATGTTCTTGTTCATTACAATGATATAATTATGGCTCAATATCGTGAATTATTCAATGTCAATCCAATCGTTTAAAGGTTGAGCTCTCATCGATATTTCTAAATGCTTTGACTTTAATCCCTAGTTTGATCATAGATACAAACTACTGAGTATCTTTTGTTTAATACTTGAACGAAATATCTATTCAATACTTCCGGGTTTCCAATAATTATCTAACTGTAGTCAACTTATAATTCATTTCAATACAGATTAAACAGTAATCTGACAATTCACAATGATATACTAGGACGTAATGACCATCCATTTGGTATCCAGATCTTCAATGATCGTCTAACATTGATCGATTCATAATCTCAATAATCATACAAATCAAGAGTGAGAAAACAGCAGGACATGGCAATATACCAGTTGAAACACCGAAATCAGACATAGAAGTAACTGCAAGCATGCTCCACGTTCTGCTCAGAAAGATTTGTTAGGAAGAACAAGTGCCGATAAACTGGAAAGAATGATACCTCATCAAGATACCAAAGAAAGAAGATCTGAACAAATGTGAGAACTACAAAGACATTACACTACCATCAGTACAACAAAAAGTTTTCAACATAGTGTTGCTAAACCAGATGAAAGATTCAGTAGACTCTCAGCTTCAAGATGAACAGATCGGATTCTGTAAGAATCAGTCGTGCAAAGATCATCGTTGAACAATCAGTTGAGTGAAACTCGTTATTACACATCGATTTCCTTGACTATGAGGAGTTTGACAGTGTGGATAAGAGAACCTTATGAAACATCATACGGGACTCATACAATGGACTACAGTACAACGTCGTTCACGGAGGACAGCTGACAGATACATTGCAAGTGAGGACCGGTGTTAGACAAGGCTGCATACTCTCCTTCTTTCTCTTTCTTCTGGCGATTGACTGGATTATGAAAACTTTCACATCTGAGAAGCATGAAATACAATAGACAGTTCAGAATCAATTACATGGTTTGGACTTTTTAGATGAGCTTGCCCTTATATCCTATACACACTTAAAAATGAAAATGAAGAGAACAAATGTATCAGAAGTTTCTGCATCAGTATACCTCAACACACACAAGGAAAAGAGTAAGATCCTCAAACACAACATGGAGAACATTAACCTAGTCACACTTGATGGAGAAACTCTGAAATATGTGGAAACGTTCACGTTCCTCGACAGCATTACCGATGAACAAAGAGGATCCGATGCAAATGTAAAGGCGAGGATTGGCAAATCAAAGACAACATTCCTACTGTAGATGAACATATGAAAATCAAAACAACTGTCAGTAAACATCGAAGCCAGAAACTTGAATACGAACATCTAGTCAATTACGCTGTACGAAGCTGAAACTTGGAGAACTACTACAAGTATAATCAAAAATGTACATGTATTTATAAACAGTTATCTACGGAAGTTACTCAAAGTCCATTGACCAGATGTCATCAGCAACAACCCACTGTGAATAAGGACAAACCAACTTCCAGATGAAGAGAAAATTAGGAAAAGACGCTGGAACTGGATAGAACATACATTATGAAAATCACCAAACTACATCAAGAATCAATCCCTAACTTAGAATCCGGATTAGTAACAATAATGAAGAAAACCAAAGAACACATTGTGCCGAGAATGTGTAGCAGACATGAAATTAATGAATCGTAACTGGAAACAACTTGAAAAGATTGCTCAGGACAGAGTTTGATTAAGAATGGTATTGAGTGGTATATGCTCCCCTGAGAGGGGTAAGAGGTAAGTAAGTAAGCAAGTAAGCAAGTAAGTAAGTAAGTAAGGAATTCAAAATTATACCATACCATATCATTATTATATCAAATCAGTCCATTCATTTACTCAAGTAGTCGATTGGTCTATATTCATGGATATTGCGATGTTTAGTTTGTATTTCTGATTTCATCATATATTATGTGGTAGTTTAAACTCTAAACAAAAATCGGCTGATTCCAGATTTACATACATTAATCCAGTGTTTTTTTCAACAGTTTACTATATTTCTAGTATCTACTAGGATCAACGTGTGAGTAATAATGAGGTTAAACGCAGAGTATTAGGGAATGATGGTAAATCAGTTGATGAGAATGTGAATCATCATCGATCGAGATGATTGGGCTAGGTATTATGTATGCCCAGACACCGATTACCACGACACGTAATGCTGACTAGTGTTGGAGACTGTTGAAAGAAAGTTAGGGGCGGTCAAACTAAAATGCGGCATCAGTCTTTGAAGTCACTAACTTCTAGTCTGAGCTATGTTAGTAGATACAGAGTACTTGATTGGGGTCCGCATGACTATCATAACCAATGGTTGGAGTGAGTGAGTGAGTGAGTGGGTGAGTGAGTAGGTGAGTGAGAGAATGAGTGAGTGAGTGAGTAAACAATCTTCACAATCTCACATAGTTATAATTCACTGTATTGACTTACTTTTAAATGTGTATTTGTTAACTTTTTTTCACGACGTATTCCTTTTCTATTTGTAACACGTTTACTTAAATGTTTTGTTTTATTTAATGATAATAAATGTGAATTATCTAATTGTGTATGATTTAATGATTGATAATTATAATAATTACAAAATTCATTTGATAATGTTACACTCTGTTGATCGATTAATGATTGTTCATATTGTGGAAGAAATCGATAGTCATGACATCCCTGTTGTTGTTGTTGTTGTTGTTGTTGTTGTTGTGGCAACTGGTCATGAAGATGAGGATTTTGATTATGAATATATTGAATATTATTGTTGTTATTATTAGTAAGATGATTCAATTTTCTATTGAGATCCGGTGATACTGATGTTGTTATTCCTGTAACTAGTTTATCCACAGTATTAGGAGTAGTAGTAATAGTTGTTGTTGTTGTAACATTAGAAGTTATTGTGTTTGTAGTAGTATTTGTGGTAATTGTATCAGATTCAGATAAACCGAATGTTTTCAATGATGGACGATTATGATCATGTTCACCTTTTGCTTCAAAATAAACAGCACCATTAGCAAAACGCCAAAAATGTGTTACAGGATAACCGCTATGACCACGACAATTACGTAGAATTAAACGACCTTTACAACCAGGTGTAATACATTCACGATCTGTGAGAATGAAACGAGAAAAAAAAACTGTTTTTTAATACCTATTGTTCAATTGTATGAATAATATTTCTTAGAGAGCTGGTTCTACCTTATTATGTTACATCTTAGAAGAAGTTCTTACCCGTGACTCCTTATTCGTCCTTAATTTCTAGACCATTGAACCGATATCCAATAATGTACAAATTTAACTTGAATCAATCTATTATATCACAAAACTAACTTCTATTTTCTTCAGCTTACATTCGAGACCGAAAGTTATGGGTTCGATTCCGGTTCATGATTCAAACTATGAAAATGCATAATTATCAGTAATAATTCAATTTCGAACTTAGTCAATTACTTCTAAACAAACAAACAAACAAACAATCGAATTATTAAGAAAGAAAGAAAGAAAGAATATATAATTACCTTAATTATGAATTTAATCGATATGATCGAAATGAAGTCAAATTTGTTATCCCACCACCTTACTATATTATTTCACTTTATTGCCTTATACCCCTACCTACTCCCCCTTTAACTATAGTTAATTATAATTATTATGAGTACGTGCTTTTTTCCCACCTTAATTTTTTTTCTTTTTTCTAATGTGGATAAAAAAAAACGGAAAGACGGTGATCATATGTTGATATGCATGTCTGGATTGAATCCCTTGTCCACTATTTATATCTGTCTATTTATAGATTTTCCATGTATTTGTCAGGGTCGGAGGGGGGAGAGTAATATATTAGTATATTAGATAATAGATGTATACGTGACACGAATATGCACTATTGTATACGTAGTCAATTATGGACAATATTTATGGGTTTTGCGTGAAGTTTTCATAAAACGGCCAATTTTTTCTTTTAAAAAAAACTAACTACTACTGATAATGAATAGATCTATGTAATGTTGTATACATACATACATACATACATATATAAATACATGCACAATAATATGCAGTAAAAATCCATGATTTATATTTACGTAAATAATTGTGTCAGTATTGGTTTGGTAGGTATTATTAGCAATTTTAGTAGTTGAGATCATCAATTAGTTGAAGCTAGACCACCTTGGAAAACCCGGAAGCACTTAGATGGTGGTTGGAGATGGTCGACAGGAAACCCTGGACCCGGTTTCGTGCTACTTGGCACTCGTCAGCAAGGTGTACCTGTAATCTTTGAGGGAACTGGTGCTCCCTGATCCCATGCTTCGATTTGTGTCACCCAGATTCACAGTCAGAGACGTTATCACTGAGCTATCCGGGCCGCGACCGACCTCCTGTAGGACTGAAATGTAATCACAATTGATTGATCACTGGGTGGTGATCAATGTCATGCGTGTCTAGTCTTTATTATTAGTGCAGATCGAATGCTATTGATCATGTTGCAGTATGGCCACCAGTATAAGTGACTCTAAGCGACTCGAGTCCGTCAGGGAGCACTATTTTCCTTAAGATTACAGGTACACCTTGCTGACGAGTGCCAAGTAGCACGAAACCCTGGTCCAGGGTTTCCTGTCGACCACCTCCAACTACCACCTAACCTTACAATAGTGCCCGCAGTGTCGAGTCACCTAGACTGGTGGCCATATTGAAACATGATCGATAGCATTCGATCTGCACTAATAATAAGGACTAGACACGCATGACACTAATCACCACCCAGTGATCAATCAATTGTGACCCGGAAGCACTGGAAGGCTGTTTCGCCCTATTATGGGACTCCTCAATAGTGGGTATCCACGATCTCGCTTCACGAGATTTGAACCCAGGATGTACTGGTCTGACGTGCGGACGCGTGTTAATTCTATATTATTTTGCTAAATTAAAGAATGGATCAAGTATTTGGAAAATATTTAGATAAACAGTAGCTAAACTGAATAGGGATTTTTGGAGATTGTAATAATTTTAATAGTTGAATATACAAGTCGATCTAAGTTAGACCATTGAAAGTAGTGGACGGCCGTTTAATTCTAGCATGAGAATTCTCCATAAATCCAAATTCTGATAATAATCATGTGTCCACTAGTGATTAGCTTTAATATAGATTTACTATAGTTTTAGTGAGAAGCCGCAACAAGTGGAGTCCAACCCGTGTAAGGTGGAGATAGTTATCTACTTCAAACAATGGATGAGTGGTTGCACAATGTCATGGATCGAATAAAGCTAAACATAACACCGTTGGATGACAACTCAGTGGTGTACACGTTAAGCGATGGCTCACGAGATTGACGATCCTATTTTGTATTTGCTTTGTTGTGGTATCGTGTATGCTCAGTACTAAGGAGTCTCATACTAGAACAAAAGGCTCGTCCAATGCCTACAGGTTTTCAATGGTGGTCTAGTTTAGAACGACTCATAAATTCAACCATTAAAAATATTTAATCTATTTGTATTCAAACAAATGCACAGAAAGAGTAAATAATAACTTAACTGTAATTTTGAGGAACTAAAACAACAATCCAGTCTACTCAAATTTTGTATTTCTCGGTTATTGAAATTATTGATTGCAAGGGATCCGTCTGTTTTTTTTATATGTACTTCTTAAGTGTATTACCTCAGTATTGATATTTAATCACAGGTCTTAGTACAGTTGGATAGTAACTAGGAATAGAATCCATAGGGTGTGTTTTATACTATTTAAGACTTTTCAAGTGGATGTATCAGAATCCTAGTTTTGAAACTCGAACCCAGTGCTTTTTGTTTTAGATATATGACATGCTCTCCTCTGAGTAATGGCGAACAGACAATCCCTAATATATATGTACACATTCGAATGAGGTATCAGACCAAAGAAGATATGTTTCTTCATTTTTATTATCTATAATGGTGGAGCGCTCGCGCGTGAGACTGATAGGTCCTAGGTTCAAATCTCGCGGGGGGGGGGCGGGATCGTGGATGCGCACTGTTGAGCAGTCCTATACTAGGACGAAATGGCCGTCCAGTGCTTCCAGGTTTTCCATGGTGGTCTAGCTTCAATTGACTCATGATTTCAACTATTGAAGTGATGAATTGTCTAGTCATCCAGCAAGTGTAATATGTTCAAATTAGATCAATTCAATAATAGAAGTATGACATTTACTACTACTTGAGAATAACTGTATATGTAGTTGAAGAAGTGTTCAGTCAATTCGGTCATTCAGATGTATCTAAATTGAATCAATTATCCTCAATGACATTAGATAATCGTCATATCATATCATAAGTTGATTGTATCAGTAGATGCTGACTCAGATATTTTAGTGGTTGAAAATTCACCAATAAACCTGAAAGTCTTAGGTTAAATCTCTACTGGAGTCTTTTGTATGCACTGTTGAAGAGTTATATTCCTGGACGAAACATCCGTCCAGTCCTGCATGGTTTTCAGTGGTTGTCTAGCTACTGTTAATCCTTGATCTAAACTATGTTTCCAGTCAACGTGTTATATAGTATAACTCTCATACTATATTAATGATAAGTTACTGTTTTAATCATAACATAATTCATCTTTCATGAAACAGTTTTCAATCGGACTCTCATTCTCTCTCTAGATTGATCTCGAAGGTAATAATTATCGATCAACACATAGCCATTTATTATTAATTTTTCTTCTGTAAGTGTTCTGTATAGCATTAAAGCAATTTTAGTTACTTCTAAAGGGTTCTACACCATGATGATGTCAGTTCATGATGGAAATTATACTTTCTTATACTCTTCATACTAATCAAATGTTAACAGATAAAAACCACCCATTGATCATAATTGTTGTACCACTGCAAATCATAAAACATTGGACTACTATTTTATCTTATTATACAACACCACATAATTATGCATCTACATATTCGATAAAAATTGAACTCAAAACCTTTTAGGTCATGAGGGGATGTCCCACAATTAGAACTGCTTGTTTAGTGCCCAGTGTCATAACATTAGTTAGAAAAAAAAAACCACTGTCCAATGGTATCTAGTTCTAAAGATATTCCAATACTTATGAATCTATCAGTATGAGATTAAGGAGAATGTTAAGCTTTTGATTGAAATTATGAATCGATCAATGTTCGACCATCACTGATAACCTGGAAGCACTGGGACTCCTCATTTGTGTGTAACCAGGTAAGTCCCATACTAGGACGAAATGACTGTCTATTGCTTCCAACTTTTTATTTTGAGATTGTATTCATTACAGATTCATGTGATTGAAATTATGAATCGATCAATATTCAACAGAAACTCTTTAATTCAAATAATCTGAGAATACTAATCTCATAAAAATATCAATCATGACCTTAGTAACAAAATGAAAAATAAAAAAATTGTTTTTCTATTGTCGTTGGTATAAATAACTTACTACATTGTTTCTTTCTTGCTTTATCACATATAGCTGGACGTAAACTTAATGGTTTACCTTGTACCATACAATTCATTGAACATTCTAATACACCAAGACATGATTTTTTTAATACTTGAGGATTATGATTATTTGTATTACGCATAGCCCAACCACTTTGATGTCGACGTGCACGTTCACATGTTTGAGCATAAACACGTCTACAATGTCCAGTTGGCCATAATTCATACGAATCATAATAATTAACCTAGAAAAAAAGATATAAAAATGGATTATCAGTTTAGGGGTTGTGGGAATTGTTAAGTTTTTGATTGAGATCATAAACCGATTGATGTTAGACCACCATTAAAAACCTGAAAGCACTGGACGGCCGTTTCGTTGTGCCCTGGGACTCCTCAGCAGTGCGCATCCACGATCCCGCTCGCGGGATTCCAACCCAGGGCGTTCAGACTTTCGTGCGAACACTTAACCTACTGGACCACTGAGCCGGCATCCAATGGTGTTAATGTCTAACCTCAACCAATCCACGAAATTGAGCGACTATCTTCCATTGTACTGAGGCAGACACACCTGTTTCTACCCGACACGGATAAGTTCCACTGGTCACGGCTTTATCACATATAGCTGGACGTAGACTTAATGGTTTACCTTGTACCATACAATTCATTGAACATTCTAATACACTAAGACAGATCATAAGCTTTCGTTCGACGTATGATTTACTACCATAGCCCTTTTTGTTCTAAAGCGATTGTAATTTAAACGTATTATTTTGTACTCTATTTTCTATACTAATCCCCAGTTTTGGACATAATTGTATTTTTTCTAATTGTTGTGGGTTGTGGTCGGGTTAGTCTTCTATTTATTCATGTATCTTTTTACACTGATCTGAAATCGGGAAATCGGGAACCAAACCGAAATTTGGAATAAATCGAGTAGTGTTCCAGTTGACTTGTCTTCTCTTACTTGCTTGCTTGTCAGCCAATCAAGTGATAGAATAGTTTTCGCCTCTCTAACCCACTTCGAACTCACGCCTACTAGACCCAAGGTTAGGTCGGTCAGCCAATTGCATCAAGGACTTAATCTAGATTAGACAAGTTATCCTCAGCACCAACAGTGGGTAGGCAGATTAAAGACGTAACAATAATCATGTATTGATTTAACTTGGGCAGCCATGAAAAATCTTAAAAAAAAACAAACACTAGATGGACGGTTTCGTCTTAGTATGGATCTTCTTGACAGTACACATCCCCAACTTAATGTGAGTGAAGATATTTTACGTTTGATTTATGGATTCGGTTTTGTGGATGTGCACTGGTGAAGAATATCATACTGAGACGAAACATCAATCTAGTGTCTAGTGTTTAATTTATAGGTTCGTGATATCAATCAAGTCCAGCTCATCTTCACAAATCCATACTGAGTATAGAATTAGATGTATTTTACATGTTGAAGCTCATTTATTGACGAGATGTCTTATACAAGAAATACTGGTTGACGTTTGTCAGAAAAATGAACCTAAAATCATAAATGAACTAATTCTACCTTGTGTATTTAAACCAGAACTAGTCAATCTCATAATCTAAGACATTAACACTGAATTATTGAGGCAGTGAGTAACTTCTTGTAGGAGGGGACTTATGTTTAAAGTTTTATAAAGACTAATTTCACTTGGTCTTGTTATACTTGTATCCTCCCATTATTATTTAGGACTGTAATTAATCAGTCTCATGTTGACATATGTGCATCGTGTGCAAATTGCCTCGATATAGCATTAAGTCACAAGCTTTTTAAGCAAAGATGAATAGTGGCTAGCAGTGGAATCCTGGACGCGCGTTTCATCCTATTTGGGACTCATCAGTTGGATGTACCTGAAGACTATTTTTAATCACTTAAAAGTAACACATAGTCCATATGATCTAAAATCATTTAGAATAGTGAGAACCCCAAAAAATACACTGTTTAGTTCTTTCCTCGGAGAATAAGATCTCTCAACAGTGACAAAATTTACATCAAATCTATACATAGTTATTTGTGGTATCGCCGCTGATGATTATTTCCCTAGATCAATCCTTAGAAAATTGTGCTGATAGGTTTATAAATAATGAAATATATAGAGAATTGTTCTATTTCACAAATGTATATAAGCGGAAATGATGACCGATGGATTTGAGATCTAGTCATGGGAAGTATCAGTGGTAAGTGTGGTTGTATTTACATATTGATGAATTATGTTCAATCTAGTGAAGAAAATATTCAGTACTTTCTAATATTCAATCTCTTTTATTACCAGTCAATATTAATTCGTGACGTAAGTAAAATATTTCATCTTCATAATCATAAAAAGTTAACAATGACATTTGAATAACTACTTATCAACCTTAAGTAGTTTATAAGTTTTGTTAATTAGTCTAGTATAAAGCTATTGATTGAATAACAACACAAATTGATTATTATTATTAGATAGCCGTTTTGTCCTAGTATAAGACTCATCAGTAGTATGCAGCTGTGACACTACTAGGTACAGAAAACAAAACTTTCATGTCTCTTGGGGACCCTTCAAGGGCTCATCAGATTGACATTAAATAGGTTATGTTTTAACTTCAATTAACTTAAGGTTTTGTACAATTAATATTCAATATTAATAATGGATAACTGTCTTATTCCTGATATGGTTTTCGTCGCGAGACCCAGAACTCTTTCGTTCAACCCTTAATGCACACTGTTAAGCATCCCGATAGCAGTTTGAAACAACTGTTCATTGCTTGGTGTTTTTTAATGGTTGTCTAACTAAAGTAAGTGCATAATATAGACTATGAAAATCAATAATTTCAACAAACCCCTTACAATCAATGGTATTAAGCTAAAGTTTCAATTGGAAACATTCATCTATTACTGAGAGATACATTTAACTGATGAATTGCCAACCAAAAAAAAAACAAAAAAAAAACCGTGTATTCATATATACCAGTAAAAAGCTAGTTATTTTTAGGAAGGATTTTAACAATCAATCTCTAAGCTACCAGATATATTTCTATCCAATCAATTATCAAGAGAATCCATGCAATGTACACATTTTCATTTGTCAATTCTATCAACTTATTAGGACATCATAGACTGTGAAACTAGATGATCCACATACAAATCCTATGAAAAGCAATGGAACCAATCAGTTCCATCAAGATTACAGGTACACTTGATTGATAAGTATCAGCTAAAATAAAACTTAATTCAATGTTATCTATAGATTAGCTTCAATCAATTAACTTCTAAATAATAAACTTTACTAATAAAATGCTTATCTAATCACCTTTTTTATTTGAAAAACCAAATAATTAAGAAATAGTTTTTATATCAGAAGGGTTTTGTGTGAACATTATAGTAATATCAATGGTTGAATTCATGAATCAATTAAAACCAGATTATTATGGAAAACATGGAAGCATTGGACGGTCGAAGAGGACGGCTGAGGAGTCTCTAAGTAAGATGAAACAGTTGTCTAATGCTTCCAAGTTTCTCATGGTGGTCTAGCTTTAATTGATTCATAATTTCAACTATTGAAATAATTTTTTAATTAAACGAAGCTAGAAAATTAAAGAATATACTTGTTTAGTCTTTGTTTAGGATAGTGAAATTGGTAAATTCTAACTAATGGAATTTGATAAATCTTCTAATCGAACGCTTGATTCGGTTTCCCAAAATGTTTTAGTTAGCCTCAGGCTAAATCTACACAACAACTTGAATACAAGAGAAAAGGTATGAAATATGGGAAAAGCGCTTTACTCCAAGTTTGATTTACATACAGAAAATCTAGGGGATTTATATTATTTTAGATGACCTTGTGTTTTTAGAAAGTTCTGGAGCCCTTATAAACAAAGTCACCGGAGAAGTAATCATTAAATCAGAATTGTAACGAGTGACTTTTCATTTTCTAGATATCTCTGAGGAACATCTACTAACTGATCGCTGATTTGATAAGATGATTCCCAGAGTCTTCAAGGCCCCTTCGGGTCTTTTTCTACGAATATTCGGGGTCTCTCCAACAGAATTTACACTTAATAGGTCAGTTATAATATTTCTGTTAACTGATCAGGATATTTTAAATGTGATTAGATGGTGGTTGGAAGTAGTCGACAGGAAACCCTGGACCCGGTTTCGTGCTACTTGGCACTCGTCAGCAAGGTGTACCTGTAATCTTTGAGGGAACTGGTGCTCCCTGATCCCATGCTTCGATTTGTGTCACCCAGATTCACAGTCAGAGACGTTACCACTGAGCTATCCGGGCCGCGACCACCTCCTGTATGACTGAAATGTAATCACAATTGATTGATCACTGGGTGGTGATCAATGTCATGCGTGTCTAGTCTTTATTATTAGCGCAGATCGAATGCTATCGATCATGTTGCAGTATGGCCACCAGTATAAGTGACTCTAAGCGACTCGAGTCCGTCAGGGAGCACTATTTTCCTTAAGATTACAGGTACACCTTGCTGACGAGTGCCAAGTAGCACGAAACCCTGGTCCAGGGTTTCCTTTTGACTACCTCCAACTACCATCTAATCTTACAATAGTGCCCGCAGTGTCGAGTCACCTAGACTGGTGGCCACATTGAAACATGATCGATAGCATTCGATATGCACTAATAATAAGGACCAGACACGCATGACATTAATCACCACCCAGTGATCAATCAATTGTGGTATTTTAAATGTAAAGCGCTAATCAGGAAGTTATCTGATACTCATGAAAATTCAAGTTATGGTTTATGGGTTGTAATTGAGTGGTTTAATATTACTTTTGTGTAATTCCGTTGCCCAGTTACTATATATTTAGAATCTATACTTTTTGACATTCACCAGTAAAGTTTATTATTATGAATACCAAATGAAGTACACTATTTACTTTAAAATGTTTAAATTTGAGTAATTGATATCTCAACACAGATAAGTCATTGATCAACTAACTGTTTAAATGATAATCTTAAGATTATATAAATCACGAATATGATGAATATTATTTAGTTATTCTAACTAAATATCATCTTGTAACGAGCCTCAAATAGGACGAAACGCATGTCTTAGATTCTGTTACTAGCAACCATGTATCTTTGCTCGTCTTGTGAATGTTGTATCATTCCGTTTTAACTCAATATTTAACCTCTCAACATTAGTATTGTATGAAAAACTGAAGGTTTAACAATGATCACTTAGTCTTTAGACAGTATTCACCGTTTCATATGTCTAATGTAAATCAATAGACACTATTAGACAACCAACTTATATTGTCACTGGGAATTAACTGTCTCACTTTTGGTATATTTAAACATTATTAATCCTTATACCAATGTCAATTTAAAGGGAACTATTGTGTTATTTAACCGCTCACTGTAATTTAGACACTTGATCCACTATATAATTTTTTCTGTGAGTCTGGTTGAGTACATGTCAATTTTTACTCTACCCCTCCGTTGGTTGTAATACACAGACAATCAATAATTTATCCAGACTTGATTAACGCTCAAAATCATATATATATGGATTCTTAACACTCATTCACACTCTTGGTTTCCCTGTGTGCTTGCTTCCTGTACGCTTGCGGATTATACCAATCTTTAACAATAAACTATCTCTACAACTGGTGTTCAGGCTTTTGAATAATTTTCTCGAGTAAATCGATAATTCTACTACGAGATTTAGTCACTTAAGGGATACTATTTATTGGAGTCAGATATAGAGGATGGTAGCCTCTACACTATCAAAATGTGTTCAACAAGTTATCTACTTCTAATTCCCTATAATTTATTCATTCAATTATTGACTTTTAATCAGTTTAAATTCTTTCCTATAATAGACAAACGTAGAAGAAGGGATTATGTGGAGATTTTAGAGATTTCACTGGTTGAAATCATGAATCCATTGAAGCTAGACCACCGTGGAAAACCTGGAAGCACCGTTGGATGCCGGCTGAGTGGTCTAGTTGGTTAAGCGCCTGGCGCGAGACTGGTAGGTTTTGGGTTCGAATCTCGCGAGGAGCGGGATCGTGGATGCGCACTGCTGAGGAGTCCCACACTAGGACGAAACGGCCGTCCGGTGCTTCCAGGTTTTCCATGGTGGTCTAGCTTCAATGGATTCATGATTTCAACCAGTGAAAACATAGAAGAGTCTTTAAAAAAAGAAGAGGATAAAACACATGTCCTAGATTTAATTGTTGACCGTTATCCATACATCTAAATATAGTTTTTTAACCCTTAGTAACAAAGAAGTGAAGCATTCAACTCATTGATATAATCCGAAGAAATAACCTTACAGATGTATACCATAAATTGATCAGTTTATTGATTGGTTAATTGATTGATTGAATTTAATTAATAATCAATACGACCGTAAGTTTAATATTTGAAATTTGAAAGGAATAAAAAACAACCATGAAAATCGAATAAAATGAAATCAGTGTCAATTTTTTCTTTTCTAATTTCAATAACCAGTTAGAAACACAATTATAAATAAGTCACCATGTTTATTACATGGGATTCACAGAATAATAATAATAATACTCACTTTTGGTAATTTTAAATCTTTTATATCCCATAAATGTTGTTGAATAATTAAACTGGAATTTTCTTTGGATTCATTAATTATATTATTATTATTATTGTTATGGTTGTTGCTATGGTCTATATTGGAACTGTTATCATTCCCTTTCACTTCATTATATGTTACTAGGGTATATTGATCAATTTGATTTAAATGAATCAATGAATTAGGTGTTGAACTTACTAAATAATTCGTATCAGTATTGATTACTGGGAAATAATCAATAATTCGATCAATATGATTACTATTATTTCTTTCAGAATTTATAAAATAATCATTATAATTATTTTTAGGTAATTTTTGTAAATCTATTTCATATTGTTCAATATTATGATTATAATTAGGATTATTATTATCATCATAGAAACATGTTGAGTATAATTCATTATTATTTAAATCATTGAGATTATGATCATGATGTGTTAATCGTCTAACAGATTCAATTGATGGTAAATGTATTTGATTTGTATTAGGGAAATCATTTAAACATTTATTCTGTTCAAGATCACCCTGATATGTATGATACAATTTAGTTGAATATGCGGGTTTGTACAGATTTGTATTATTATTATTATTATTATTAGTAGTAGTAGTAGTAGTATGATTCAATACATTATTGTTTATAGTTGACAGAGTAGTTGGATTAATGATATTAATAGATGAATTATTCAAAGTTGTCTGATCTATATATGCGGGTAGATTGGAATTCCATTGTGGAGTTAATGTACTACTGACACTATTACCATTATGATTATGATTATGATTATTTAAATGAATATCATAATTTGCCCAATTCCAAGTTTCAGACATGTTTATAGGTTTTTCTGATGAAAATTTATTCGAATTCAACATTTCTGTTAATTCAAATATTGAAAACAATGAAGATGAAGTACAAGAAGAAAAAAAGAACAAACGAAAAAATTCTAATGATTTGACCAAATATTCAAAAGAAATATGTTATACACTATTAAGATAGTGATTAAATGCGGGTTTTATGTAAAGTAATAAAAACAAAAAAAAAGTAAACAAAACAACAAAAAAAAACAAACAAAAAATGAAAAACTTTCGGACAAAATAAACCAATCAGTAAATGAATAATATGAATTTGGAAAATTATGAAATTCTATGAATTTGATTGGTTAAAATTTTTTTTATCTATTTTTAATAATTATGATTGGATCATTTATGATCGGCCGTATCCTAAGATTAACCAATTAGATTTTTTAGTTGTTTTAATGATATAAAATGAATTTGTAAAGTAAAATTGATATTTTTATTAGTTGAAATGATGAGTCAATTGAAGCTAGGTCACCATAGAAAACCTGAAAAACACTGAACGACCGTTTCGTCCTATTGTAGGATTCCTCAACAAAGCGCATCCACGATTCCGCCTCATAGAATTAGAACCCAGGACTTGTCAATCTCGCACGCGAGCACTTAACCAACTAGGACACTGAACTGGCCGGCATTCAACGGTGTTTATTTTTAACTTCAACTAATCCACTAAATTTAGCGACACATCCACCAATGTCATCAGTAAGTTATTATCTCATAACAGACCTGGTTGAAATCCACTGGTCACTGCTTCTCACTAGAACTCCAGGATATACCTCTTAAAGCCAGTCACTAGTGAGAATATGTTGATTATTATCAGAAAGTGTTTAGTGGATACTTCGGTAATTTCAATCGTTGAGATCGTGAGTCAATCGAACCTAGTCGTGGATGCGCACTGCTGAGGAGTCCCACAATAGGACGAAACGGTCGTCCAATGTTCCAGGGTTTTCCATGGTAGACTACCTTCAATTGACCCGTGATCTCAACCACTGAAGTTACTAAAATCTCCCCAAACATTGTTGTGTATATTCCAATATTGAGCTGTTAATAATTATCAGTTATACAGCTTCAATCTAATCATAGATCTATTCAAATTTATGTTAAGACAAAGGCATATATTACACATTAAACTTAGGTTAAGAAGAAATGCATTCTGTTATATCGTAGTGACGTCTGAGATCTGTTAGTGAACTAGTATTATATATATATATATATATATATATATATATATATATATTCCTATTGTATAACTGTTCAGAAACTAGATTATGTATATCTATCTAAGTTTCATTTTGACCTGTAGATTATTATTATTATACGATTTACTGTTCATAAGTTGTATCCAGTTTATTAATTACAGTCTCCCACGTTCACAGTCACTTTTTGGCCTGATCTTGTATAAATGTTATTTCCTATTTTATGGTGTGATACGGCCTGTTTGGTTGGTATATCAACCAAGTATGTTTAAAATAAAGAATTCACATAGCGGAAGCTGTTATTGGTGTTCTGGACTCAATTGGACGGGCTAGGCGAACAAAGAATCAATAAGGACGCTAGGCTGATCAAACCGATCGAACATCATTGGTTTAGCACAGTACAAGAGTAAATACGTCGTATTTGGATTGGCGAATGAATTACTTGATGACTAGCCGAACTTAAATTCACACCACATGCTTGTATCCTCAAATTCTAAAATGCTATTTTATTATACCCGGTGGTTTTTACTACCACAGTTTTCATAATTCGAACTACTGATAAGAAATAGTTTTAAGAAACAATATCTTCTTTGTAATATAGATAATCATTTCCATAACGGAATAACACATAAATTCTATAACTCAGTTTATTGGAATTTGTACAGACAACTGATTTAGAATGTTATTAATGAACCTCCTGAATTATTTTACTTCATTTAAGATTAAGTTACCTCATTAAATTTCATTTCGACAAACGTAAAACACAGTGATGCAACTGTTTTTAGACTTTCATCATGAATTTTTATAATAACTTTGTTTACTATGAACAAAATGGACCGTTATTATTGTAAAAATTTTGTGATGTTTAGATTTCAAAGTTTACATGGGGAACTAGTTCTTATTAGATAGTCAATGGAAAACAGAAAACACTGAACTAATGTTACGTTCTCGTATGGGAGCACTCCACTGTATGTCATCACAATCCCACCAGAGACTAAGCTCAAGATCTTTGAATTATTGTAATGAGTATATAAACTTTACATCACTTAGTTGCCATTCAGTAGTCCTCATATCTAACTTCAGTTCACTTCTACTAAGTACCATACCAAGAAGAACCAGTTGTTCAATGCTTACTGGATTTCAATAACAATGTCATTTATCCTCCACTTATAAAATTCATTCTTCAGTTATTTGTTTCTTTCATTTTACACTAGACTACTTATAAATACTTAGTAATTCAAAATGTCCCACTACATTTTATCATCTTCATATAATGTAATACATGGTTTTGTCGTTTCAACAAACTAATTACTGTATTTTTTTTCCAGTTTAATCACAATGTTTTACAATATTCTTCAAGTTGTAATGGTATTTCTCATCTTGTTCGTTATGGGATCTTTCCATGTGTATATGACTTCTCAAAATCATATTCACTTCATGTGAAATGACTCATTTCAAAACGTGACTTTGATCACTTGACAATATTCCTATTGGATACATTCATTATCTTCAGAAGGGGTTTTGTGGAGATTTTAGAAATTTCAACAATTGAAATCATGGGCCAAATGAAGCTAGACCACCATGGAAAACCTGGAAGCGCTGGACGGCCGTTTACCATGGTGGTCTAGCTTCAATTGATCCATAATTTGAACTATTGACATTCATTATCTGTTTTATGGTTCAAAGTAACTACTATAATTCTGCCTTTATCCAGTTGTTTAAAGATCATTATATCTCTCTGACAATGTTTTGTATCTATGTGGAAACAACAACAACAACAACAACAACTACTACTACTACTACTACTACTACTGCTACTTCTACTACTACTACTACTACTACTACTACTACTACTACTACTACTACTACTTCTACTGCTACTACTACTATTATTATTATTATTATTATTATTACTACTACTACTACTACTACTACTATTACTACTACTACTACTACTACTACTACTACTACTACTACTACTACTACTACTACTACTAAATTCATAATTGTTCTTCAGATAACTTCTGTTAATGATGAAATCGATATCCAGATTTCAAATATCTTCTCACTTGTAATTTATTTCATAATTATCAAGAATTATTTGTTATGAAAAACTCGCATGACGGAATAGGAACCAGGCGGATGTGATAGATTGATAGAATGTGATAGAATGAGTCCACCATTCATTTCATAAAGAATATTCAGTAGAACAAAATGATAGTGTTGATAGATAGCAAACAAATGTATAAGTATGTTCAAACTACTATGATAGTATAGACCAATTCAGATATGAACACCACTGGATACCAGCTCAGCCGTCTAGGGGTGAGACAGAATGCTGTTAGTTTGGTTCCTAATTATAAGATCATGAGTGATTGCTGCCACCGAAGAGCTCCATATCAAGACGAAACAATTATCAAATGCTTCCAGCTTTTCAATCGTTGTCTAATTTAGATTGGTTCATAATCTCACCACAATATCTAAAACTAATATTTTGTTTATAAAAATAGAGAATAGTTCATACTTTGAAAGGTAGCATAAAGTTGGTAATAATGATCACCATGGAAAATCAGTTAAAACAAATCGATATACACAGGAGTGTCATTTAAAAAAAATGGTGTTTAGGTGGTGTACACTCACAAATTCACTTGACAATTGAAGTTTGGACGTTTCAAGCACCATAATCAAGGCGTAAACTTTATTTGATTGAATTAACATTGAATAATTCACCTTTTTAAAACTCAATTGGTTCATGGTATACAAGGATAAAATCATTTAGATTGAAACGATAAAGAAGATTTACAGTTTAATTAGATGCGTTTGATGGCAATATTTTGTTCTTTAAACTTGAAATAGAAGTGAAGGAAAAGAGAGAGTGATCAAAGAGAACACTGCGTTGGGAATTAGAATCAGGCATCAAAAAGATGAATAGTAACTGGGAACAACTGGAAAGGATTGCTCAGGATAGAGTATGATGGAGAATGCTGGTGGGCGATCTGTATTGCTCTAAGAGGAGTAACGAGTGCAAGTAAGTAATTAAGTGAGTGAGAAGTGAAGAATTCAAAATTATACCATACCATATCATTATTATATCAAATCAGTCCATTCAATTTACTCAAGTAGTCAATTGGTCTATATTCATGGATATTGCGATGTTTGATTTGTATTTCTGATTTCATCATATATTATGTGGTAGTTTAAACTCTAAACAAAAATCGGCTGATTCCAGATTTACATACATTAATCCAGTGTTTTTTTCAACAGTTCAATATATTTCCAGTATCTGCTAGGATCAACGTGTGAGTAATAATGAGGTTAAACGCAGAGTATTAGGGAATGATGGTAAATCAGTTGATGAGAATGTGAATCATCATCGATCGAGATGATTGGGCTAAGTATTCTGTATGCCCAGACACCGATTACCACGACACGTAATGCTGACTAGTGTTGGAGACTGTTGAAAGAAAGCTAGGGGCGGTCAAACCAAAATGCGGCATCAGTCATTGAAGTCACTAACTTCTAGTCTGAACCATGTTGGTAGATGTAGACTACTTGATTGGGGTCCGCACGACTACCATAACCAATGGTTGGAGACTGTAGGTGACACGGTTCAGAATCGATCACAATGGCTTTATAGTTTTCTTTCTACGAACTCATTCTTTCTTCTTGTAATATGTCCTTATACACGATCTTTCTTCTATATATTACTATCATTGAAGTAACTACTTCTATGAATTTGATGTTCATCTCGTTTTGCTAACGAGGTACGGCAATTTGGACTGATGCATATATGTTCCTGATCCTACGTTGTAGCTGACTGACTAACTATATCCAGAGTTTCGATATTTCCTCATTTGACTTTGTAGTTGTATGTATTCATTCATATAAATGATGATACATCTTATCATTTAACTACAAAACATACGTTCACTAATGCATAAACAGAGGCGAAATATATTACGTCTTGTGCTGAGCTTATCTCAACTGGAGAAATTAATCTGATTAGTGACGTTTAATCTTCTATTGATGTTACGTTACTCACTTCCTCTGAAGTTCCTTAGGGAATGAAATATGTACTGCCTTCAGAATTTTTCTTCGTTATTTTCTGGTAGTTCAGTCCCTATCTTTTTGGAACCTCACTAAAAGACATTTTATTATCAGATTTTCACACTTAACGAGGTTTACTGCTATCTTGGAACATGTTTGAAAGATAGTAATGAAAAACAGTGAGTAAAATAGCCTTATATCATTTAATCTTAACTATGTAGCTTATTTAATAAATAATTCGTATTTTTTCTTTGTCTGTAGGTTTGATTATTATTAATTCTCTTCAAGGTCTAAATTATACTTTACTCAAAGAT